CCAGCACCACCTGGAACAGACAGTATTGAAATAAATAAACCATATGTTTACACAACCAAAGGAACAGTCCATTTACATTAGAGTTGTGTCGTTAGGTTGGTAATGGACCTATCCTATGGGTAAGGATGATCTCCAGCTACACAAACTTATTTTCTTCCCTTTCTTGGAGGCCACTCGCCACATGAGAGACAAGACACCAGATATAAAGAAATGGGTTCCATCTAAAGCAAAATTAGAAATCACTGCTAAACCGGGCACACTGTGTGGGATTCACAATAGAGTTCCTCTGATCTCATTATCAGATGACTTGAAATTCAGAGATATATACTAGACAAAATAAGTTGGGATATTGGTATTTTTATGATTGATATTTTATCATTGTGTCAACGAATAAATAGATCATTCATAATTTAAAAATTTACATATATCCCTAACTATTTTTGTCCAGTATATATAAAACGTGTGCAAGGAATGGTGGGAATGTTAACAACGAAAACTTTTTACTGTATATTACTGTGTACAAGGTTACCTGGAATTTTAGGGAATGTTTTATTACAAATATAGGGATCCTGTATGCTCTGATGTGCTTCATTCTGGGTTGTATTATCGATGACTGCGGATGTCAATTGGTTGGTAATGCACCTATCCTAGTTGAGGATGATCTCCATGGCAAACAACTACAATTTCCTATACGCTATTGTTCATTCAATGCCATACAACATTACACTCTTATGACCACCAATCAGGATTTGCACAAAGTTAGAACAGAGCATAGAATAGAGCTCATTTGACTTCATTATCACCAGCTGCCTTGTGATTCTCACACATCACTACAACACTCAAGATGGAGGAACCTATTCAGGGATTTACCTATGGAGGGAATAGCAGGAACATGGACAATGAAACTATTATTGGGGATGTCGTTAGGTTGGTAATGGACCTATCCTATGGGTAAGGATGATCTCCAGCTATACAAACTTATTATCTTCCCTTTCTTTGAGGCCACTCGCCAGAAGAGACGAGAAACAATAAAAGAGAAAGGGCTTCAACAATTATGCATTTCATATTACACATTCCTACACCATGGTCATACAGAGCAGATCCTGGGGGCCAAAATGCTAAAAACAGCTTACATCTATTTTGTCTGATGTGACACAAAATGAAACATCACTGAAACAAATGACGCATTATACATTCCTGCACTTCATTTAATGAATTTATTCTCAATTGAAAAAGCAAATGCAAGATCCTCACATCTTATCCAGCAACTAACATGAACATGTTAAATCACCTTAAATAAAAATAACAGTGCACCAGCAGAATTGACAGAAAACAACTTTATCCACGTTCCTGTCACAGAGAAGTGAAAAGACATACATGAAGATACATCCATACAACACGCAAGACAGTTGAATGTATTCACAGATATATGCAAAACCTATGGACGGAATATTAGTAATACAGACAATAAAATCTTCAATCACTGGGGATGTCGTTCGGTTGGTAATGGACCTATCCTATGGGTAAGGATGATCTCCAGCTACACAAACTTATTATCTCCCCTTTCTTTGAGGCCACTCGCCATAAGAGATGAGCAACAATAAAAGAGAAAGGGTTTCAGCAAAAACTGCATTTCACATCATACTTTACTTCAGAACAGTGGAGATCCCGGAAGGCCCAAAATGCTCAAAACACGATGTCTACATGAGACAGAGTTTTGTCTGATATGTCAAGATCCACTCACAAGATCAACATATATCTTTCAAAATAGTCATCTAAATGGAACTGTCTGCCAGATATCAAAACAGTTTCTCCTGAAATCACAGCCAAACACTTGTTTAATCAATCCTACAACTCCCAGCCTCAAACTCTGCTAGAACACCCAGCATATCGTGATTGTGAATTGCTGTGCTCTATAAATGCATGTATTATTATTCGTTGATGAGAAAGCTTGTCACCATTATACATGAAGCATAACGAGTAAACTCAAAGTGTTTGAAGCTAAGCCCAGCTTGTTGCCCAAGAAACATGTATATTTCAAAATACCATGCTATGCTCCGAAAATTAATCACAACAGACAACAAACATTCAATATTCCCATTTCCTCTTCAAGGTGCAGGTATAAAGTAATGAAACACCTGTAGTATGGTTGGTAAAGTGAACATCACAACAAGCGAGACAGTTGAATGTATTCAGGGATTTACACAAAACCTATGGAAGGAATGGTAGGAATAATGACAATGAAAACTTCAATCATTGGGGATGTCGTTAGGTTGGTAATGGACCTATCCTATGGGTAAGGATGATCTCCAGCTACACAAACTTATTATCTCCCCTTTCTTTGAGGCCACTCGCCATGAGAGATGAGCAACAATAAAAGAGAAAGGGTTCAGCAAATCCTGCATTTCACATTACTACACCATGTTCACAACAAAGCATATCCATCAGGGCCCAAAATGCTCAGTCTACATCACCTTTGTGTCCGTCACAAATGAAACCTCACTGAGCAACTTACATTGTACATCTGTGTTTCATTTAATGAATTTATTCTCAATTGAATAAATTTATGCATGAACCTCACATCTTATCCAAAACTAACATGAACAGTGCACTAGCAGAATTAGCAGAATTGACAGAAAACAACTTTATCAATGTTCCCCTGCCATTGGGAATATTAGAATTGTGTTTTTCATAGAGAAGTGAAATGATATACAAGGAGAAGGAGAAGCAAATCCAGGGAGAAAAAAACAACAAGTATCTCTTTGATACACATGCTTAGGATTTTTTTCATGAAACTTCAGGAGATTCACAAAAAAACCAGCAGAATCAGAATGTATTCAGATTATAGAAAACCTATTGAGGGAATATTGACAATGAAAACTTCAATCATTGGGATGTCGTTAGGTTGGTAATGGACCTATCCTATGGGTAAGGATGATCTCCAGCTACACAAACTTATTTTCTTCCCTTTCTTTGAGGCCACTCGCCATGAGACGAGAAACACAATAAAAGAGAAAGGGTTCAGCAAATCCTGCATTTCACATTACTACACCATGTTCACAACAAAGCATACCCAGGAGGGCCAACAATGTTAAAAAACACATCGTCTTCAACACCTTAGTGTCTGATGTGTCAAGATCAACTCACAAGATCAACATTTCTTCTGTTCACAGATTTAAATCTCCTACTTTTGGAAAAACATGTCTTTCTTTCACAGCAGCATCTAAAATTAAATATCAAAACTGCTACCACTGTCTTCTTTTCAAACCACAGCTAAAGACTCACTTGTTTGATCAATCTTACAACTTCCAGCCTCAAACTCTCTGCTAGCACATCATGACTGAATTGCTAGGCTCTTTAAATGCATGTATTATTTGTCTGAGAAAACTCCAGCTTGTTGCCAAAGAAACATTTATTTAGAAATACTATGTTATGCTCTGAAAAATTATTATGGCAGACAGCACACATTCAATATTCACCTTCCTCATAAGGTGCAGATATAAAGTATTGAAACACCTGTAGTATGGTTGGTAAAGTGAACCTGTCTAGGAAAACAGTTCTCTGCTTACCAAACATTTATTTTCCCACGTCCATGTGCTACAGCATGCTGACTTGTAATGTCAGCAAGAAAGCAGCTGAATATGGGTTAAAACTCACGGTTCAGAAGTAACTAGGCTAACATCAAGAACGCTATTTCCATTGGATGACTGACACAAAAACATACTTCAGTCCCATTTAGTTATCCCCTCTCATGTCTTCCACATCGGGATTATTTTGAATTGTTGATATTTATCTTAAAGAAATTTAAGAAACCTCATCTTTGAAGTTGTATTCAAAGTAACTGAGCAAAAGGTTATGTGCCAGTGGATGACAATCATTTGAACACTTACAGCATGGTTGGTCTGAGCTTGTTTATATTTAGGACCTTCACTTGTTCCTATATACATTTACCAATAAAACAATATTAACTGATGTCCACCGACTGTATAATGATCAAGGTTTGTGGTTAGGTTGGTAATGGACCAATCCTGGGGGTGCGGATGATCTCCAGCTACACCACCTTATTATCTACCCTTTCTTTCAGGCCCCTTTTCACATGTGACACATAGTCAGATAAAAAGAAAGGTTTTAAACACCTGAATCATGGACTCGGCCATAAAGTATAGATAAACCTTCTGCAAAGCCTGGCATGCCATACATACAGTTTAACCATAATGCCATCTGATGACCTACCAATCAGAAAAACAAAGTTCTGATAGAGAAAAAAGTGAATACAAACTGTAAAACTTGATGTTTGAGAAGACCAAACCTGACAACTGTAACCATTGTGACAAATAATCAATACAATTTCCTATATCTAGTACATGACATTGTTCATGTCAGACCTGACATTACACTGTCGAGACACCAATCAGGCACACGGTACGGCACAGGGTATGAATCATTGTTCATGTCAGACCAGTATGTCAAGAGTATGAATCACACTTCATGCACAGAGTAGAGATCATTATCACCAGCTGACTAGTGAATCTCTCACATCACAACACGCGAGACAGTTGAATGTATTCAGGGATTTACACAAAACCTATGGAAGGAATGGTAGGTATATTGACAATAAAAACTTCAATCATTGTGGATGTCGTTAGGTTGGTAATGGACCTATCCTATGGGTAAGGATGATCTCCAGCTACACAAACTTATTATCTCCCCTTTCTTTGAGGCCACTCGCCATGAGAGATGAGCAACAATAAAAGAGAAAGGGTTCAGCAAATACTGCATTTCACATTACTACACCATGTTCACAACAAAGCATATCCATGAAGGCCCAAAATGCTCAGTTTATATCACCTTTTTGTCTGTCACAAATGAAACCTCACTGAGCAACTTACATTGTACATCTGTGTTGCATTTAATGAATTTATTCTCAATTGAATAAATTTATGCATGAACCTCACATCTTATCCAGAAACTAACATGAACACGTTAAATCACCAAAAATAAGCATAACAGTGCACTAGCATAATTGACAGAAAACAACTTTATCAATGTTCCCCTGCCATTGGGAATGTTAGAATTGTGTTTTTTTCATAGAGAAGTGAAATGATATACAAGGAGAAGGGAGAGGAAAATCCCAGGGGGAAAAAAACAAGTATCTCTTTGATACACATGCTTAGGATTTTTTTCATGAAACTTCAGGAGATTCACACATATAACAGCACAAAAATCAGTTGAATCAGAATGTATTCAGATTATAGAAAACCTATTGAGGGAATACTGACAATGAAAACTTCAATCATTTGGGATGTCGTTAGGTTGGTAATGGACCTATCCTATGGGTAAGGATGATCTCCAGCTACACAAACTTATTACCTTCCCTTTCTTTGAGGCCACTCGCCATGAGAGACGAGAAACACAATAAAAGAGAAAGGGCTTCAACAATTATGCATTTCACATTACACATTCCTACACCATGGTCATACAGAGCAGATACTGGGGGCCAAAACGCAAAAAAACTGCTTACATCCATTTTGTCTGATGTGACAAAATGAAACATCACTGAAACAAATGACGCATTATACATTCCTGCACTTCATTTAATGAATTATTCTCAATTGAAAAAGCAAATGCAAGATCCTCACATCTTATCCAGCAACTAACATGAACATGTTAAATCACCTTAAATAACAGTGCACCAGCAGAATTGACAGAAAACAACTTTATCAATGTTCCTGCCACAGAGAAGTGAAAAGACATACATGAAGATACATCCATACAACACTCAAGACAGTTGAATGTATTCACAGATATATGCAAAACCTATGGACGGAATATTAGTAATACAGACAATAAAATCTTCAATCATTGGGGATGTCGTTCGGTTGGTAATGGACCTATCCTATGGGTAAGGATGATCTCCAGCTACACAAACTTATTATCTTCCCTTTCTTTGAGGCCACTCGCCATGAGAGATGAGCAACAATAAAAGAGAAAGGGTTTCAGCAAAAACTGCATTTCACATCATACTTTACTTCAGAACAGTGGAGATCCAGGAAGGCCCAAAATGCTCAAAACACACTGTCTACATGAGACTGAGACTTTTGTCTCATATGTCAAGATCCACTCACAAGATCAACATATATCTTTCAAAATAGTCATCTAAATGGAACTGTCTGCCAGATATCAAAACAGTTTCTCCTGAAATCAAAGCCAAACACTTGTTTAATCAATCCTACAACTCCCAGCCTCCCATCTAAGAAACCTCATCTTTGAAGTTGTATTCAAAGTAACTGAGCAAAAGGTTATGTGCCAGTGGATGACAATCATTTGAACACTTACAGCATGGTTGGTCTGAGCTTGTTTATATTTAGGACCTTCACTTGTTCCTATATACATTTACCAATAAAACAATATTAACTGATGTCCACCGACTGTATAATGATCAAGGTTTGTGGTTAGGTTGGTAATGGACCAATCCTGGGGGTGCGGATGATCTCCAGCTACACCACCTTATTATCTACCCTTTCTTTCAGGCCCCTTTTCACACGTGACACATAGTCAGATAAAAAGAAAGGTTTTAAACACCTGAATCATGGACTCGGCCATAAAGTATAGATAAACCTTCGGCAAAGCCTGGCATGCCATACATACAGTTTAACCATAATGCCATCTGATGACTACTACCAATCAGAAAAACAAAGTTCTGATAGAGAAAAAAAGTGAATACAAACTGTAAAACTTGATGTTTGAGAAGACCAAACCTGACAACTGTAACCATTGTGACAAATAATCAATACAATTTCCTATATCTAGTACATGACATTGTTCATGTCAGACCTGACATTACACTGTCGAGACACCAATCAGGCACACGGTATGAATCATTGTTCATGTCAGACCTGACATTACACTGTCAAGACACCAATCCGGCACACAGTATGAATCACACTTCATGCACAGAGTAGAGATCATTATCACCAGCTGACTAGTGAATCTCTCATATCAAAACACACGAGACAGTTGAATGTATTTAGGGATTTACACAAAACCTATGGAAGGAATGGTAGGAATATTGACAATAAAAACTTCAATCATTAGGGATGTCGTTAGGTTGGTAATGGACCTATCCTATGGGTAAGGATGATCTCCAGCTACACAAACTTATTATCTCCCCTTTCTTTGAGGCCACTCGCCATGAGAGATGAGCAACAATAAAAGAGAAAGGGTTCAGCAAATACTGCATTTCACATTACTACACCTATTCACAACAAAGCATATCCATCAGGGCCCAAAATGCTCAGTTTATATCACCTTTTTGTCTGTCACAAATGAAACCTCACTGAGCAACTTACATTGTACATCTGTGTTGCATTTAATGAATTTATTCTCAATTGAATAAATTTATGCATGAACCTCACATCTTATCCAGAAACTAACATGAACACGTTAAATCACCAAAAATAAGCATAACAGTGCACTAGCATAATTGACAGAAAACAACTTTATCAATGTTCCCCTGCCATTGGGAATATTAGAATTGTGTTTTCATAGAGAAGTGAAATGATATACAAGGAGAAGGGAGAAGCAAATCCCAGGGGAAAAACAACAAGTATCTCTTTGATACACATGCTTAGGAATTTTTTCATGAAACTTCAGGAGATTCACACATAACAGCACAAAAAGCAGTTGAATCAGAATGTATTCAGATTATAGAAAACCTATTGAGGGAATATTGACAATGAAAACTTCAATCATTGGGGATGTCGTTAGGTTGGTAATGGACCTATCCTATGGGTAAGGATGATCTCCAGCTACACAAACTTATTATCTCCCCTTTCTTTGAGGCCACTCGCCATGAGACGAGAAACAATAAAAGAGAAAGGGTTCAGCAAATCCTGCATTTCACATTACTACACCATGTTCACAACACAGCATATCCTCAAAGCATATCTTCAACACCTGAGTGTCCGATGTGTCAAGATCAACTCACAAGATCAACATTTCTTCTGTTCACAGATTTAAATCTCCTACTTTTGGAAAAACATGTCTTTCTTTCACAGCAGCATCTAAAATTAAATATCAAAACTGCTACCACTGTCTTCTTTTCAAACCACAGCTAAAGACTCACTTGTTTGATCAATCTTGCAACTTCCAGCCTCAAACTTTCTGCTAGCACATCATGATTGTGAATTGCTAGGCTCTTTAAATGCATGTATTATTTGTCTCTGAGTAAACACCAGCTTGTTGCCAAAGAAACATTTATTTAGAAATACTATGTTATGCTCTGAAAATTAATTATGGCAGACAGCACACATTCAATATTCACCTTCCTCTTCAAGTTGCAGAAATAAAGTATTGAAACACCTGTAGTATGGTTGGTAAAGTGAACCTGTCTAGGAAAACAGTTCTCTGCTTACCAAACATTTATTTTCCCATGTCCATGTGCTACAGCATGCTGACTTGTAATGTCAACAAGAAAGCAGCTGAATATGGGGCTATTCTCACAATTTTAGAACTTAGGACTAAGTGACGATCATGTTTCGGCTAATTCTGCAAAAGTTATTGAGTGTTTGTTTGATTACAAACCTTTGAAGGATGGATGCCAACGTGAACAGTGGCACCATTGGCCTTCTCTCTTTGTATCCTCTCAATGTAGATAACATATTTCTTTCTGTACACCTGGACAACTTTTCCAACCTGCTGGCCTTTATAATGGCCTCGGACAACCTGAAAAGATGAAACAGCTTGTCAATATTTGGAAAACCTGGTATAACATCAAGTAGTTTGGACACAACAAAATTACCTTAAATCAGCAAGGAGCTACCTCAAAATCATTCCCTATATCATTTGCAATTCACCACTATAAACACATTTGAGATATAAAAGAAAGACACTATTCCCTAAATTATTCATAATTCACCCATACTTCCATATATATATATTAAAAATATATTCAACAATCCACACCTGCACTTCATCATCCTTCCTAATGGGCATACTTCTAACATTGTATTTTTGACGCAGTTCCTTTGAAAGAGCAGAACTCATGATCTTGCGCCTGATGTGTGAGGGGGCATTGAAGTGCCTCTTGCGGTTCTTCCTCCGTGAGGAGGTTACCATCTTGTTGAACTTCATGGTGAAGTCAGAGGAGCGTCCTGAAACGACAGATGCAGATTTACTTGAGATACATAACTGTAAACAAGGTAAATGTGGTCGCTTCCTATCGAAAGGTAATGTTTCTGAAATTTGATGGAAAAGGACTGACTGAGTTTGGTTTTATGCCGCTTTTAGCAATATTCCAGCAATATCAGAACGGGGACACCAGAAATGGGCTTCACACATTGTACCCATTTTGGGATTCGAACCCGGGTCTTTGGCGTGACGAACCAACGCTTTAACCACTAGGCTACACAGTTCCTGATGGAAAAGGTAACAAAACTGTAAAATACAAATTGACAAAACATACGCTGAAGCAATGACAAATGTTGTTTGTTCATTTTCCGCTAGAATGAGGAATCGTTGATGGAAACGGCTTGTGCATCACAATACTAACGAATGCAAAACGTACTGCGGAAGGAAAAGAGTAGCCCTTGACGGCCATTTGAAAACAACAAACATCCATGGGTCTAACATCAGTAGAGTTGTCTGTCGCAACGAAACAAGTCAAAGAAAGAACATCAACTAATTTTCACCGGCCTGGCCAATGTGAAGAAGACGTGTGTACCATGCGATGTTTACATGCCAATTGTGATATATAAACAGTTCATCCTTTCAAAAATAGACACCTAAATGAATAAATGGATGCCTTTGGGAAAGTATGGTTAGTTTATTTGAGTAAATGAATAAATACACGTGACGATGTGCATCGATGCTGATGAAGACTCAAATGACTAACCTCGCGTCAATGGCCGCTCGGCTGAAAGGGAACATCCGGGGGATAGACATGAGTGATGTCCCATGCAAAAAAAAGTTGCTTGTATTTGTATTATTACTGAATGAAAACAAATAACATTTATTTCTATTAATTGTAATACTTATAATATAACATTCCGATTCAAGCACATGCACAAAATACTACACAAGCGCATTTCAAAGCCCGCAACAAAAATATATTGCTAGACTATTACGTCCAAGGGAAGTCACTCTATCTCAAAACCTTAAAATCCAAGACAGTCACATGTAAACTAAATTCTAAGTGAGGTGAGGTGAAATTTACGGAAGCGCTGAAGGGACCTCATGAAATATAATTTATCTTGAGCGCACAAGTTAGTATCTTGAGCGCACAAGTTAATATCTTGAGCGCACAAGTTAGTTATCTTGAGTGCACAGGTTAATATATTGAGCGCTCAAGTTAGTATCTTGAGCACACAAATTAGTTATCTTGAGTGCACAAGTTAGTATCTTGAGCGCACAAGTTAGTATCTTGAGCGCACACGTTAGTATGTTGAGCGCTCAACTTAGTATATATTGAGATACACTGCTTCATAAGCAGTTCATGTGGAAGCAAGGAGGAGCGGAAACGCGAACTGATTCATGCTTATTTCAGTCTTTGGGTTCCAATACAAACACATAACACATCTTCTTGTCAAAACTCAGGGTATAGTATAGTACGCCACTTGAAGCGTATTCTGAGGTGTATGTCCCTCTCTCGTACCAGATTTGCTGATGTTACAGTGAGTGAGTGAATACGGTTTACACCGTTTTTAGCAATATTCCAGCAATATCACGGTGGGGAACACGAGAAATGGGCTGCACACATTGTACCCAGGTTGGGGAATCGAAACCAGGCGTGACGAGCGGACGCTTTAACCACGAGGCTACCCCACCGCCGCGCTGATGTTACATACTTTATTGCGGACGACTTCGACGATCTTAACAAAGACATGGTTATCGTTGATGCATCAAAAATGTATTCAATGCGGTTTAATTGTGAAACAGGATACTGTACGGTCGTTGTTGGACCCGAATGGTGTTGAATTTCGCTCAGGACACTGTCTTCATCGACGTCTTTATTCTTCAACTTCCTGTGTTGTTAAAACATGTTAAATAAACTACAACACACATACGTATACATAAGGGGTTGATACGGAAGAAGTGAAACGGGGAACACGGTATTTTAGTAAGAAATAAAGTCGGTATATATGCTATACGTGCACATACTAATGGATCAAATAAATCAGGCGGGTTTTAAATGATATTGTACAGAGTTAAACTGCCATTGTACCCACGTAAGGAAACATTACTGATACATGCAAACCAAGACTACAGACTATAGTTCCCCTGAAAGTGGTCGACTTTACTTCCAATACATCAGACATTAGTTTTATAATTAAGATAATTAAGTATAACACTCAATGTTTACATTTTTCATGGTCATGTAATACTATATATACATAATAAAGCCGTAGCAAAAAACAAGTTATCCAAGTGTTCATAATTCTATGTACCAATATAAGAAGTAAGTAAAACCACTATTCATCCCTGCAATAAACTCCTACTCATGTTTATGTTTTAATTCTTATTATGACATTACACATACCTAGGCCTGCTTTATGTAATAAAGCAAAAAGTGGTAAAATCAGATACAAAGAATAGTATTGACAAGCATAAAGACGATGAACGTTTACATGATAAACATTATCAATGTTCATGATACATTTGCATACTTTTACATAGTCTCATCATAAACACCTATAGTTAACTCCGACTTTGCATCGTTTGAAATCTTCCAAAAAGGATATAAGTTTGTACATTTTAGCCAGCAGTCAAGCAAATGTGCGTTCCATTAATGCCATTAGATGCTAAACACGGAGTTGAGCGCTCAAGATATTAACTTGTGCCTCAAGATACTAACTTGTGCGCTCAATATAACTAACTTGAGCGCTCAAGATATTAACTTGTGCGCTCAAGATAATTTTTATTTTATGAGGTGCCTTCAGCGCTTCCGAAGAAATTGGGTTTAACGCCGTGCTTGAGAATATTTCGCTCATATGACGACGTGCATGCGTGTGTATGTGTATGTGCGGCTGTTTGTACTAGCCCAGACTGAAGCTGGTTTTATAGTGCTAGCCCACTGAGATACCATGCCGCAGTGAAGCATGACTCAGACACATTATACTGACTCCGAGCCGACCAGTATTTTGGTATGACGCGGTCGGGGATCGAACCCGCGACCTTCCGCTCTCTAAATTCTAGGTACTGCAGTAGCGATAAAAATGAATAAATGTACTGTAT